ATCTAATTCTATCTAATTCTATCTAATTCTTTCTAATTCTATCTAATTCTATCTAATTCTATCTAATTCTATCTAAATCTATCTAAATCTACCTAAATCTATCTAAATCTACCTAAATCTATCTAAATCTATCTAAATCTATCTAAATCTATCTAAATCTATCTAAATCTATCTAAATCTATCTAAATCTATCTAAATCTATCTAAATCTATCTAAATCTCTAAATCTATCTAAATCTATCTAAATCTATCTAAATCTATCTAAATCTATCTAAATCTATCTAAATCTATCTAAATCTATCTAAATCTATCTAAATTCTGTCTAAAATCTGTCTAAAATCTGTCTAAATCTATCTAAATCTATCTAAATCTATCTAAATCTATCTAAATCTATCTAAATCTATCTAAATCTATCTAAATCTATCTAAATCTATCTAAATCTATCTAAACCTATCTAAATCTATCTAAATCTATCTAAATCTATCTAAATCTATCTAAATCTATCTAAATCTATCTAAATCTATCTAAATCTATCTAAATCTATCTAAATCTATCTAAATCTATCTAAATCTATCTAAATCTATCTAAAATCTATCTAAATCTATCTAAAATCTATCTAAAATCTATCTAAATCTATCTAAATCTATCTAAATCTATCTAAATCTATCTAAATCTATCTAAATCTATCTAAATCTATCTAAATCTATCTAAATCTATCTAAATCTATCTAAATCTATCTAAATCTATCTAAATCTATCTAAATCTATCTAAATCTATCTAAATCTATCTAAATCTATCTAAATCTATCTAAATCTATCTAAAATCTATCTAAAATCTATCTAAATCTAAATCTAAATCTATCTAAATCTATCTAAATCTATCTAAATCTATCTAAATCTATCTAAATCTATCTAAATCTATCTAAATCTATCTAAATCTATCTAAATCTATCTAAATCTATCTAAATCTATCTATCTATCTATCTATATGTCTCTATATATATCTATCTGTCTCTATATATATATATATTTGCACAGATGAACTCATCAATACATGAAGCTTTCAAGTTGGTTTAACCACAAATTCACGCGCGCGCGAATTTGCAGGGGGCAGTGTGCGAGCGAACCGAGCCGTACACCCCGCAGGCGTGATGCGGTTGTTATCAGCGGGGTGGTTTGCATTTTTTTTTCAAGTGGATCACCCCTATATGGCTATCTAGGGGACCACAGATGTTAGTCTAGTTTAGTATTAACCATCCATAATTTTGGGGTACCTAATTTTGACCCATCCCCATATGGCTATCTGGCTAATAAGCCTTGTTAGTCCCGGATTTGTGGCTTCACCCATCAATGGGTTATATGGTTAGTAGCAAAAAACTGGCCGTGCCGACGGGACTTCCACTTTCCAAACATGGAGGGTTTGACCGACTTTCGGTGGTCGTTGGATTTCCTGCGCATCCTGGTGGGTTTTGGAAAAACACATGGGATGATCGGTTGTGTGTGGGTTGAAACCACCAGGTGTGTTTTTCTTTCACATGGGTATGGATCAATACCTATTAATACCATTTTTGGGGGGATGAACATCCATTTACCAGCTATTTTGATGTGAACAGAAGGGGTACAAGGTTTTGACACACTGCCATATTTTGGAACATGTTTTGGTTATGGGTCGAATGATTGGGGTAAAAAAAATGCGATGTCTCAGTCGGTCTGAAGACCCCATCCGTAGATCCCTTACCGACTGACCCAGCATTTATTGGGGTCCCGAAATAAATAGAAACGTTTTTCCAGGTTGTTAGTTCGACGATGTTTCCTCCACAATCTCCAGGTGTTCATCTTTTCTGCATCTTTTTCAAGTTTCTATCTCACAATGTTTCCTAGTTAAATCCCCATTTTCCCCCTATAGTCACGTTTCAGAGTCACCTATTTCGGTGCCTTTTCAGACGAAAAAATATAACATAAAACATGAGGATATCTACTTATATATGGGGATGGGTCAAAACCTATGAAATTACCATATGACTGGGGAATAACTCCATGGATTAACCAGCTATGACTTTGCGTACCATCGGGGTACCAGGGTTTTGACCCATAGCCATATATGAGTTCAAAATCCAATCGTTTGGATTATCAGTCCTATCCCATCGACACTGCAGCCTGACCTGGTAGGATAGCAGAAGGCAACGAAGGCAACGAAGGCAACGAAGGCAATGAAGGCAACGAAGGCAACGAAGGCGGTAGGGGCAGCAGGTGGTGGTGAGATTTCAAGGGGTTTGAAACCAGCAACAAGTGTCTGTTCAGCCGATGATATACATATATATATATTTACATATATATATAAATATATATATATATAATGTACATATATATATATACACATATAATATACGTATATATATATACGTATGTATATATATATATATATGTGTACACGTATACAATATTATATATATACACGTGTATATATATATATACGTATGTATGTATGTATGTATGTAATGTAATGTAATATAATGTCATGTCATGTCATGTGATGTTAATGTTAATGTTAATGTTACTGTTAATGTTAATGTTAATGTTAATGTAAATGTTAATGTAATGTAATGTATGTATGTATGTATGTAATGTATGTATGTATGTATGTAATGTAATGTAATGTAATGTAATGTAATGTAATGTAATGTAATGTAATGTAATGTAATGTAATGTAATGTAATGTAATGTATGTATGTAATGGTAGGTATGTATGTATGTATGAATGGAATGTAATGTAATGTAAATGTAAATGTAAATGTAAATGTAAATGTAAATGTAAATGTAAATGTAAATGTATGTATGTATGTAATGGTATGTATGTATGAATGTATGAATGTAATGTAATGTAATGTAATGTAATATAATGTAATGTAATGTAATGTAATGGTATGTATGGTATGTATGGTATGTATGGTATGTATGGTATGTATGGTATGTATGGTATGTATGGTATGTATGGTTTGTATGTTATGTATGGTATGTATGGTATGTATGTATGGTATGTTATTTTATGTTATCTTATGTTATGTTATGTTTTATTATGGTATGGTATGGTACGGTATGGTATGGTAATGGTATGGTAATGTAATGGTAATGTCATGTCATGTCATGTCATGTCATGTTATGTATGTATGAATATATATTTTCCTTGTCTCTCTCTCTCTCTCCATATATATATATATATACATATGTATATATATATATCCATAGACATACCGGTGTTGCTTTGACCAATTACATGTACAGTTTGATTTACCAGTCAATCAACATTGATATGCAACATCCACAGTTTTATGAATGGGTTTGTCCCAAGGAAATTCCATAATTCCATGGGTTTTCCCATGTTGGTTTGCTGCCAGGTCTCTCCTTTGACTCAGTACCGGAGGCGCCTTCCTGGGAAACACTTTGTTTTCCATTGGTTTCAAATCTCATTGTTTCAAAGAGATATATTCTATTTAGGTTTCAATGAGGTTTTCAATATGTTAATTTGAAATCAAACCTCGAACACATTATATTAGAACATGAAGTTTTTGATTTTTATCACAGCCCATTTATTCTGGGCTTGTACCTCGACCCTGCAAGTGGACTGTGTGGCTGCGATTGACAGCTAAGGACCTAAATTTCAAGAGTAATTTGCCACCTGTAGAGTCACTGTAGAGATTGGGATTGTACTTTGATACAGTATATCTTTTTGTGGGTTGTATTTATTTCATTGAGCACACATGATTAAATAGACAATATGATATATATATATACATACAGTACATTTATATGTATGTATACATGCATATGTATGTATTTATGTATATATATATATACATCTGTATATACATATGAAGTGCACATTTTTTTGGATTTCAACATTCCCAAGTCCACGGCTTCGGCTTTGACGCCGTTCTTTTCACCGTGTCAGGTACCGCACACCAGGCGCCTTCTGCTCACAAGCCGAGGGGTGCGACAGTTCGAGCAACTTGGTGCGTCTGAAAATGGGTTTGAAAATGGAGCATACCCCAAAAATGGCCATTTAAATTGGGTTGGGTTTCTCCCAATGGATTTGGGATAAAACCACATGGCAAACCATCGATTGGCTGGAAATCATTCAGTCTTTGACAAATGGTGTAGCCTGTTCATCGGCCATTTGTGGACCAAAAATCATTTCAGATTCCAGACTCACAGAAGTGGTTGAAGGGATCACCTTTTTTGGCATGCTTCTCAGATAGGTGGATATTTTGGACTGCAGTTCTACTTTCTGAGTTTCTAATTTTTATGAAATTGGATAGTTTTGGAGGTTTTACTGCTCTGAACTTCCTTGCGAGCCTGTAGGGTTGTCTCAAACCGAGGGATAGACCCCGTCAATTGAATATGGATCCCGGAATGGTCTTTGGAATATCATTTTATTATTGGGAATGGCTACTGTATCACATGCTATTAACATGCTATTCACATGCTATAACTATGGCTCTCATGTGATTAAAGGGGCCTGGCGACTGGCCCCTTGCCTTGGCCCCTTTTGTTCGTGGCTTCGTGGCTTCGTGGCTCGAGGTATCATCCTTTGAGGCCTAGCACTTTGTTAGTGGGCATGAAGGATGGCCAGGACCCCGGACCGCGCCGGATGGTGAATTTTCATGGCTTGGCTGGGGCCATTTCTGGTGAATCCAGCAGTGAATCGCACAAAAACTTGGGGATGGCTTAGCTTGCTTGGGGAAGATTTCTTGGGAAGATACTTGGCATATGTTCAATTTTTTTCAAAGACATCCATATGATCATCATATTCTGGCGAGTCCTTTTTTCGCTCTCCATCTCGGCTTGCAATATGTTGCGATCATGTTGCGATCATTCGATCCCTATTTGAGATGATTTTAACAATTTTTGCTTCACTGATATGATTGTTCTGTCAAATCTCTGTTGGTACCCTCTGGTAATTTAACATAGCCACAGAACATTAGCCTTGAAAGTTACCAACAACATTTCCATGGCCATGGCAAAGCCATGGCAAAGTGGTAGATTACCAGACCATATCCCGGAGTTAATTCATATAGATATGGAACAGCCATGATTTCCCATTCGAAAAATAACCTCCACATGGTGGATGGTATCGGTCTTCCGCATCTATGTCACTGGAGGGCAACTTCTGTTGGTAAACATCTCCCCCATTTTAGAGCTCTGCAAGGTGGGGCCCCCTAGGCCAAGTTGGTTTATGACATTCGTTGAACTATGGTTTGTGGATCTTTACAGTAGATATAGCATGATACAACATGATATAGCTATAGTCTTCATAACGGGACTGTTATATCAAACCCATAACATAACTGTTATATTTATAGTCTTCATGGGCTTTCTAACCCAAACAGTTTACGGGACTGGGCCCCTGGGCCCCACGCCAAATCGGACCGAGGTACAGCTGGCATCATTGACTACGACACGGATGTGATGACTCACAGTTGTGTTGGGAGACCCGGGTCGTCATATCGTCATAGCAGGGGATGTTTTACGAGGCACAGTCGGACAGTGCTGAGATCATGGTGAGATCATGGGGATATCATGAGCATCCAATGACATATATATATATATACATATACAACTATATACAACTATATATATATACATATGACACATATATATATACATATATTAATATATATATATATATATCATCTAAAATTGCTGGAACATGGGAAGTTCAACCCCAGGGTTTTCTGAACTTCAACGATCCGCCGGATCCGGCCAGGCCGTGGATCGCTTTCCGATCCTTGGCCTCTCGTGGTTCCACACCCTGCCAACTTGGTCAGTGGTGGGAGGCGGAGCCGAAGTGGCGGGTAGAACTTGGTAGAACTTGGTAGAACTACTAGAAAGAACTTCTAGAAATAACTAGAAATAACTACTGGAATCTAGTTACTAGAAGTACCACGTCTTGTTTTGCGAAGTTTTTTTATCCCTTGTGGAGCTGCTTGCAGGGTGTCCGGGATTGGCTGTGATTTTCTTTCCATCATCCTGAAAGGTTAGTCGTCATATCTCAGCCATGCTCCACATTCGAGATCATCTATAGACGCCCAGTGGGATGATTGAACCATGCACAGGTATAATAAGTCAACCTCCCTCGATGGTGAAACTCATCGTTTAAAGAACAAGGCTGGATGGAATTCAGGTTTAGCAACAATTAAATTTGAATTTAATATTTTCTATGGGCTAACCCTGGATGGTCAAGCTGAACGAATTAAATTCGACTTTAATCTTTCTTCAAATCTGATTCCAAGCCTTGTTTACATGACTTTCATACGCATGAGTTGATGAACAAGTTCCATCTAATCATCTAGGTCTGCGAGTTTGTAGCAGTACAGGCAGTACATGATACAGTCAGAGTAGACTCAGTAGACGTTCGTTCCAACTGGGCCGAGAAACTGGGCCGATCCCTTCCATTCACCGCATTTTTTCCAGGCTCCCAGTCTGGTGTCATTCGCTTCTTGCGCTACGACGAGGGTACCCCTGGGACGATGCACAGCACGGGGCTCCAGGGTGACACCATGGTGACACCATGTCCTGAGAGAGGTGGCGTAGTGGCATGCCATGGAAACTCTCCAGCAAGATATTAGTGCCATGGTGAAAACATGGTGAAAACATGGATTATGATATGCAAAAAACATGATTAATAGTGAAATAGTGATTTTTCATGGTGAAAACATGAAATTATTTTCATCTATTTCACTTATTTTCACACAAAAATAGATGGGACGCTCACCGATCCTGCTATAGAATGGGCTTTATATGGCGATGTTTGGAATTCCATTCAGGGTTGCATGAACCCCACGACAATTGGGGAAGCCAATAAATTGAACCATAGCCACATAAACATCTAAGTGAAGTTAGTGAAGTTTGAACAGTCTTTCCCAGGCATGCCATTTTCATTTGGGTTGTGTTTTCGCCAGGCTTTTGTTTCAAGTCAAGTTTTCAGCGGTCACCGTGTGAGCTCAAGGTGTCGAGCTGGAACCCTTCCAGCATTTGTCTTCATTGTCCATGAACTGTGCCCCTTCAGGGAGATATCTCTTTCCGTTCACCGGAATGATGGGAATTGGATTGGGGTAATCCCATTGGCGGAATTCTTCAGGTTGGATCAACTGTCAGATTTCGGCAGTGGAGTGAACCAGCTTTCGGGGTCAGCTTTCCTAAGACTCCACTGGAAGCCCCTGAAAAACCTTCAAGTTCTGCCCAAGAAATGGACCAAGTTTCTGGATTTTTTCATGATTTTTCATGTGAAAATTGGATCAACATCAAAGAATTCACAACAATTTTTCTGTGGATCCCTTGGTCTGCTGTCTGCAGTACTCGTGGGTTTTATAAGCACAAAGGGCAGCCAGTTATGATACCATCTGGTTATGACTAACATAGCCATGGAAAATCCCAACCATAAATGGAGGTTTATAGCTGGGAACATCATCTATAAATGGACCATTTTCCATGGCTATGTTAAATAACCAGTTATGATAGTTATGGCCAAGCCACATATGATAACTTGGGTCCCGCATCGTAGGCTTCCAATTTTGGCCCATGCATGGACCCGACGAAGCCACGTGGACAGGTACAGATGATTTCTTCATGACCAGCGGCTTCTGCATTGACGTCGGCCTCTACGATGTCATCACTGGACTGGTGGATAAAAAAAAGCTCCGATGACGGCATTTTCAGGATGTGCTTAGGAAGCGGGGTGACAACCCAAGAAAGTGTATAGCCTCTGGTAATCAAAACATGGCTTTCCCATTGCAATGCCCATGATGCGGATTCCGAGCCATGATTACTGGAGGGTAAATGGGATAAGCCCAGTAATCCCCAGTGAGGGGACTTATTAACTATATAGTCTTATAGACCAGTTATTGACTATATATAGTGTTCCTTTATGAGAATATGGCCAGTGAATCGAGCTCCTTATGCTGGTATCCGCAATGTTGTTTTTAGGGTTCCAGCCTTATGCTTGCTGAAAATACACTTCTTCCAGAACCAGAGGCTGAAAGGAAACCGGAAGCTTAAATGAAGGTACAAAGACAGGAGCTGGGATTGTCTGAAATGGGGTATACCATCTGGTTATATAACATAGCCATGGAAAATCCCAACCATAAATGGAGGTATCTAGCTGGGAAAATCATCTATTTCTATGGACCATGGCTTCCATGGCTATGTTAAATAACCAGAGGATAGCTCGGAAATACCATGGTCGGAAATCCGATAATCCACTGGAAGCTGTGAAGTTCACAAGCTGCTCACCAGGTGATTTTTCTTCGATTGTTCAATGAGGACATAGTTGGGGTCTCAAATAGGATTCAATGGCAATTTTATGGGCTAATCCCAACCATTTTCACTGCACCAAGTTGATTCCAGGGCCTCCCTATAGCATTGGGTTTATCCAATGCTGGACCACCAGATTTAAAAGGTGGCCATCAAATAATGGGAAGATGATTATTATCCATATATTTTCATGGTGTTTTTGCTTTCCCAACTTTTTCAGACAAGCTCCATATGTTCGAGGTTTCACTGTAACAATGCAATATCCATCGCTTTTTATCCATGGTTTTTTGTTGCTTCATATGGGGGTGGGTCAAACCCTATTATTATCAATTCTAATGGGATGAACATCCATTTACCAGCTATTTTGGGGTTCACTAGGTGCCAGGGTTTTGACCAATAGCCATATATCTTCAAATGAGTTGATGATTCCCAGTCGTTCCATTACTCTGCCACTCTGCCAGGACGCCGCATCCAGACATTTCGAAATCTGCACCAGAATTTTATTAATATCCTTCGCTGCTCGGAACGCCGGCTGGCGGTTTAATATGGGTTAATGGGAAGTTGTGGCTTGGGGATCTTGGAAGAGGGTTACAAAGGATTGCGAAAAAATAGATAAATAAGTAAAAATAATATATATATATATACACATACATACATAGATAGGTATACCAGGAAGATTCTGCGATGGTTCATGTGGTAAGGATTTTCCCGGATAACCAAAAAAATCACAGTGTCCTGAAAGTGCAGAATCTCGTTGGATGAAATGACCAACAACTTGATAAGGATGGCTTCCTTAGCTGCAGACACTGCACAGCTGCTACAAAAAGCCTCTCCTTCTCCGTAGCAACGTGATGCATCTGTGGTATCGGTGCTAGCTTGGCAGCCAAGGCTTTTCACATCGAACGCCAGGGCAGCTCAGAGATGATGGCTGAAAAGAAGCCGAAAAACGGCGAATACCCAAAGTTGTACCATTTTCACTTGAGTTCGCAGTAATTTCCATAGGGTAAGTCCATAACTTGGGTTACAACCCAGTTCCTACTGTGGGGTGAACCACCAAGTATTGAACCTTCAATTAGAATGATTGCTGCAATGGAATAAATACCATGGCGTCGTAGTTCCAGGTTATGAGGGCCAGGATGCTTCGGCATGCCTTTCTGTCAGTCCAAGTATGAGATGATGAGATTTTACGAGATGTTTTAAGTGTGGCACCCCAAAACATCAACCACAATTTTTTCCATGTTTTGGATAAACTGGATAAACTGTTTTCTTCTAATCTTTTGGATTTTTGGGATGTTTTCTGCGTTTCAAGAAATGGGTGAACTCCGAAGGCCACGGATCGGTGAGGCCACAACTTTTTGCCACGGCTTCGTTTGACCACACTTGCAAGGCCGGGCCAAGTGGCCAAGTGGGCAGGGAATCACAAGGTTTCACCTGGGAAGAAGTTGCTGAAAAGGCCTGCGCTGTTTCAATCTGTTTCATGGCTACCCATTTAGTAGCAGACGATTATATATCAATATTTGGAGGGAAGCCTCCGATTCTTAATCAACCATGCTTTATTAATCCGGGGTTGACATTAGAAAACATCCATCTTGGCACTTTCTGTGGTGGTCTTTGACAGTTTCTCACAGAATCTCGCATGTCCTCTATAGCCAGGCTCTTTCACCTGGCTGCATTTTATAGCTTGCTTGAGCTGGTTTGGTGGTTGTTCTCTCCAAGAAACAGTCTCAGTATTTAGTATTTTCAGTAGATCATGATGCGTTGAAATCATGTTTGGTTATTATTTTTTGTTATTATTTTTGGTGCTTTGAACTATAAAAAAAATCATCCTGGGATGATGATCCCCTTTGACGAGTGATGGGTAGCGATTTGGACCACCCACCATGACTTTGAGGCCTGACTCAGGATTTGGACCTGCTATTCAAGCCTCCTCAGTTTCTGGCATTCTCTATATTTTCTCCATGGTCATAGGCTATGGCTATGGGGCATGATTCTACCAAGTTTCACTTGGAAAAAGACCGAAATAGGTGAAACCAATCCATTTGGGCCCTTGCTTCACGTGCCCCGAGGTGTAAGCCAAGTTTCACTGCTTCCAGATCTGCATGTTTTGTACGTTATTGCAATGCTTAAATCTCCTGATCTATAAAACATATGGCAGGTACAGTAAATTGGCACTGCATTTTCACAGCTTTGTATTTCTTATTTTTTTCTAATCATCAACCAATGATGAGGCGTGCTTTGGATTGGTTGTTTGAAAAACGCCGACCCAAATCACCTGCTTTCCATCCCGGTTAGATCAGCAGGGCGGTCACTTGGAAGATCATCCCGGTAACTACTCGGTCCGCCGCTGCTGTCACAGCGGATCGTGATACGACATGACATGAATCGCATATTCCAAGTACATTGAGTGCAATTACATCGGGCAATCTTGCAACATCAGCAAGGGTTGAAATGCGTAATTACAGTGGCTGAAATTTCTCATGTGTAGTTCCCAGTCTAATTTGCTGTTAAAACGTCATATCAATTTGCCGCCAACTAGTTTTTCTGGAACTTTATGAATTCTGTTCACATGTAATTCTAGGGGGGGAGACATGTCTGGTGTTTGGACCATAGGACCCGCCCACCCCTGACTCCAAAAGTACATGAAGCAACTTCCAAGACGACGTGCCACACCCGCCCAGCCCATCACCCCTCCCTTCCAGCTTGCTATCATCACCGAGATGGTTACTAACGCAGCGTCATCTTTATTCATGAAATGCAAGAAAGAACGCACTAAAACCCACGGGCTGTTCCGGGCGGTGGGCCACTCTATGCTCAGCTACTGGTATCACTGGGAAGAACGCAAGTTTCTTGGGGCTTCTTAAACAGGCTTAGACAAGCCACATGGGTTCATCCGTAGTCTCAAAAGTAGAGTACCGGGTTTTCCTATCATTTCAAGCCGAACAAAAATCCCATTCAATCTGTCATCTATTTTTCTATCTGCAGTAATACCCATGGACAAACCTAAAGGACTAAGGTGATATGATATTATTCGTAGTTGTGTATAATTACACAACACACCATCATTCTGCCTTCGATTTTTCTAGTCTACCCTCTGGTAATGTAGCTTGCCGCTTTAAGAATGGCCCATTGATCGTTGATTTATTGATAGTTGAATTACCTATCGAACTCGGTGATTTTCCAGTTCGCTATCTTAGTTGACCGGTTCCGCCTTTGGAGCAAAGCCACGAGGTCTGGGACCTCCGATCTCCGGGTCTCTGCGCAGAGAAGCCGGTGCTGAACTGTCCGGGGAGCACGCTGAATGTTGGGGCAGCCCAGGCCATGGTGAGGTGTTGATGTTGAGCTCAACACAATTGGTCATCAGAATCAGAATGCTGTATACATTCAACAAGAAAAACCATGTGTGTATACACAAATACACATGCATGATATATATATATATACATATATATATATATACATATATATATGTATATATATATATACACATATGTATACACATTATATACATATTATATATATGTGCTGTATATATAATATATATATATGTATCAGCAATATATAATGAGATATGTTGATTCCATTGCCCAGCTCCGGCCTCAGGTGATGCCTGGGTCCTCAGAACGCGCCCAGGGGATTTTTCACCAAGCGTGGGATGAATCATTGGATAAACCAACCATTTAAAGACATGACATATTCATAGATTGAAGCTCTATTCCGGGAGAAAACCAAATCATATTGTTGACTATAGTGCATACATACATACATACATACATACATACATACATACATACATACATACACATATACATATACATATGCACATACACATATACATATACATATGCACATACACATACACATATACATATACATATACATATACATATACATATACATATACATATACACACATACATATACATATACATATACACACATACACATATACATATACACACATACACATACACATACACATACACCTACACCTCTACACCTCTACACATACACATACACATATACATATACACATACACACATACACATACACATACACATACACATACACATACACATACACATACACATACAGACATACACATACATACATATATATAAATACATATACATATACCTATACATATACCTATACATATACATACGCATACGCATACGCATACGCATACTACGTACGTACGTACGTACATTCATTCATTCATTCATACATTCATGCATGCATACAGACAGACAGACAGACAGACACACAGACAGACAGACAGACAGACAGACAGACAGACAGACAGACAGACAGAGACAGACAGAGACAGACAGACAGACAGACAGACAGACAGACAGACAGGCATG